GTATTTAACGCAAAGTTAGCTTTTTAGTTGATATCTCTCTCTCTCTCTCTCTCTCTCTCTCTCTCTCTCTCTCTCTCTCTCTCTCTCTCTCTTGCTCGTATACAATATTCACAATGAATGTATAACAATATATGTTATGAACGTCATTCATGCATTCTTTTCATATTCTCGAACATATTCCGTTTGATATATCTATCGTTTCCAAAGCGAGAACACATTGTTCATTGTTCGCTTACCAGTTCGTTTTACAATCTGCTTAATTTTAGCAAAAGCGTCTTAATATGGAACATAGTTCACGAACAACATTGTTGTCCCAGCATCGTATCATTCGATAATCGAATTTCACTTTATTTGGTATATGTGACATACATCGCATGTAGTATATGTGACATGTGATATATATATATATATATATATATATATATTTATATGTATATATATATATCATATGTACAATACGTATCACAAAAGATGTTGAAAAGAAAAATATATATATATATATATATATATGTTTACACGGGAGTCGCCATCTTGACGGATGTTCACATATTTGAGTAGCATTCGGATCGCTTTCAATTTATCGATAATTAACAACTTTATATCAAATCGAACGGATCGATCGCTTTTTAATCAACGATTTCTTCTTCTTTTTCCTTTTTTTCTCTTGTTTGTTTGTTTGTTTGTTTTTTTCTGGTTTTTTCTTTTTTTTTTCTTTTAAATTAACGGAGCGACATACAACTGTGAGGGAGTACCTCTACTTGATTCTCTTTTTCCACACTTTCGTTTCCTCTCGTTCTCTCGCATTCCTTCTTTTCATTCTCTCATACTCTCATCAAATTTTCATTATTACTTCTTTTTTTTTCTCTTTTTTTTTGGGAACATGTGCTTACTTTGTTACTGCTGCTCGTTTACCATCATCGCGATCATAATGATCGTAGTCTTATAATCACTATCGGATTCGTATCTCTCATACTTTCGTTCGTTCGTTCTCTCTTTCATTCAGTCTCTTTCTCTCTCTCTCTCTCTCTCATCTCACTCTCATTCTCTCTCTCTCTCTCTCTCTCTCTCTCTCTCTCTCTCTCTCTCTCTCTCTCTCTCTCTCTTCTTTCTTACTGTCACTTTTTTTTGCGTTTGGAATTTTCATCATTTTTTTATGCAACACATAATGCGACTAGATAGTACAGGTTAATTAATAATTAATATCATTAGTTATACAATAATAACGTATGACTAGACAATGCAAGATAATAATTATATCATAAATATTAATAATCATGGATCGCAATTTGTATCAACAATGTGATGGCGCGCACGTGTTTTGAGAAATGTAAAATACCGTATGTGTGTCGCCTGTCTGTCTCTGCGTGTGTTCTTTCGTGTCTACTTCTTTTCTTCTTCATCTTCTTCTATTTTTTCTCCTCCTTCTTCTTCTTTTTCTTCTCTTCTTCTCTCTTTTTCTTTTTTGTCACTTTGCAGCGCGTATTTATATATTGTGTATGCATTCTTTGCCGGTTCCTATGCGCTCCTTAATAAGTAATCGTGCGTGTTTCGTGTATGCATTTTGTGTGTCACTTTTTGTGTTTACGCCTATGAACGTGTGTGTTCATCTGTCTCTGCTGCTGTTCTGCCTGCCTCCTCTAATGTCTCTGTGTGTCCATGTGTGTATGTATATATGTATGTATGTATGTACGTGTGTTTGTGTTTATGTAAGTGCGTCGCGTCGAGCATTATTATACACGAGCGCGCGCACAATATCTATATAGCACAGAAAATTTACACCACCGATTAAAATATATCGTTTGATCAATCTAGTTTTATGCATTTTCGCGACGGTCACATGACTTATCGCCAATCGCGGTAACGAGTCAGATGATCATCGTTTCTGTTTACGATGTATGTATCTCTTTACAAAACGGAAAGATCTTTTTACTTTCTCGCGCGAATACATAGCAGCCGATCCTATCTCTCCCTCTCTCTCTCTCTCTCTCTCTCTCTCTCTCTCTCTTTCTCTCTTTCTCTGTTTACCTATATCCAATTTCTTTTTCTTTTTTCTTTCCCTAATCCTATAGATCGACAACTTGTATGATTTGCAACGAGAAATATACGGATCCGTCCTATCTTAATCGCCGTTCACATACACAATGGAAATCTCTTAAAAACGGTTAAAAGTACGATTATAAATGTATACGGAGGAAGCTTCGTGCGCTAGATTCGGAGAATCGATCTAATTATACATCGTTACTCCGATTATGAGAGTCTGAGCATTCGCGGTGGATCAATATATAAATCGTTTTCTTTTCTTTCGATGATCTTCGCGGTCTTCGAGCGATATCAATCTTTCGAAGAAGCAGCGGTGTGCTCGTGCATAACTAGTTTTTCCCTTCTTTTTTTTTTTTCTTTCCTTTCTTTTTCCTCTTTTATTAGGGCTTTGTTTTCTTCATTTTCTTTTCTTTTTTTTTTCCTTTTTCCTTCTTTTTTCCTTCTTTCATTTCTCGTTCTT